GCAAGCAAATATCACTTACAGAACCTACTCCTTACTGTGTAGATTAGTTATAAACCTGGAGAGGTTTTCACCAAGTTGTGTATTAATTAATGATAAGTTATTAGGCAGAAAAATTTTGCAGGAAGTGGCAGGATTATTGATTGCAAAGGCCCAAGAAAATATCCAAGGAATAGCAACTATTCTAAAGGGAATAAAGTTCTTGGAGGAGTTGTTTTGGGGGGATATGCAGTGTGAAAAAAGGCTGAACATATGCAAGGTTCAGCTAGATTTCTGAGAATTTTATGTACCAGCCTATGGCATTTGGTCTATTGGCAAAAAACAACAACAAACACACACACACACACACACACACACACACACACACACACTCACACACACACACAACAAAAAACAAACAAACAAAAAAAACTATCAGAACTGGGATTAAGAAGATAGGCCATAGATTCATTTTCATGAATGTGAGTTCCAGCTAGGTAATTACTAGCTGTTGGGTAAAATATGCAATCACTCTATGCTTCGATCTACCCAACTTCAAAATAAAATAAATTGGGTGTGTGTGCCCACATACAAACAGCCATTTTGAGTTGTTTGAATGATTAGATTGAATGTGCTGACACATGGAGAATATTTATATTAATGCCAGAAATATATTAAGATTTAGCATAAACATTCTTATTTTCTTATTAATAGTTCCCATTATCTGAGTTTATTATAAACAGATTAAACAAATGGGAGAAAATGGCAGCAGAAAGATATGTTAGAAGACAATTGCGAAAGATGCAAAGTAAAATGAAAAGTGGGCTTTCGATTAAGACAGAGAATTTTAAGTTCTAACATCAATATTATCTGTAGACTTAGAACCTTGGACCAATGACTTAACATTTGAATCAAATCCTATTTTTTGTTAACTATAAAATTGGATAATAATGTGATATTTAAGGAGAATAGTATTAATGTATTAGCTGTGTGTTTCAAAAACAAATGCTGCTCAATAAATTACAAATTTAAAAATCCTATTAGTAATATTACAATCTTAATACAGGATAACAATGGTTTGACTGTGAAAATAGAGAAGAAACAAGTTCACATATGAAGGTAAAAATTTTATAAATACTGACATCTAACCAAGGGAGTGATGAATTTATGAAATATGATTGTTGAATATTTTTAATAACACAGATGATAATTTTGTTTTGCATGGTATTGCTTTATTTACAACTAGAGGTCCTGCACCCTCTCCAATCTGGAACCCCTCAGGGGATGTCTAACTGCCGGTTTAGGCCGATTGGGCCTAAATCGGCAGTTGGACATCCCTCTCACAATCGGGACTGCTGGCTCCTAACCACTCGCCTGCCTGCCTGATTGCCCCTAATCACTTCTGCCTGCCAGCCTGATCACCCCCTAACCGCTCCCCTGCTGGGCCTGATTGAACCTAACTGCTCCCCTGCAGGCCTTATCACCCCCAACTGCCCTCCCCTGCAGGCCTGGTCCCCCCCAACTGCCCTCCCCTGCAGGCCATCTTGCGACAACGTTGGGGTGGCCATCTTGTGAAACGAGGGTGTGAGGGTCAATTTGCATATTACCTCTTTATTATATAGGATGGTTACTATTTTGTTTGTGACCTTTGCTTTCCTTGAAAAGGAAATCTGGCAAGTATACAAGCAGCTTGGTAGACACTTATGTCCACACCTAGAATCTATTGCATGTGAAGCAGAATCTGCTTCTTGGCCCATCCACAAACAAGTCCCTCCCTCTCAATGAAGATTCCTTGAATGATTATTATATCCCACATTAATCTCTCCATATCGAATCAGTATTACTTATATTTCATTATATATTGTTCTTTGTCTTTTGTTTTCTCTGCATTAATACTACAGTGATTTGGGATAATATATATTTGTTTGTTTTGTTTTCCCATCATATCCACACCCAATAAGCATGGTAAACTTAGTGATAAGGCTTGACATCCTTACCTACTAGTATATTCCCAATCATAGAATGATGATTTTCAAGTAGATCTGTGTAGATGAGTGTGAAGGCAGCGCACTGTTTCTTCATTGACAAAGCTCAACTCCTCTGCATTTGGGGGCTAGAAGGATCTAATCACCTCTTGGTGATGGAGGAAGCTTCATGGCATCACTATGGTTTATTTTGGTTCTTATTACTGCTGGTAATCTTGGCTTATGTGTAGACAGTAAATGTGATTGTCTTGATGTTTATAGTATTTCCTTTACATCTTGGCTCCTTCTATTCTTCAGAGAAGGGCAGCCATGTCATCATTTAACCTCACCTCGATTCAACCCATTATTTTAGTTGTACATAACTTCACTTGACCTGGCAACCTTCCAGGCAGATCCTACAACTTCTCTCCACTTCTCTAACTTTTCTGTGTGTATAGAACAGTTAATAGCTTTGTGTGTTCCCCCATCATTTTACTCCTGGGAAGGCTATATAATAATCCTATCCTTCCCTGCTGTCAAGGGAAACTCCAGTAAGCATGCAACTTGCAAGAAACTCCAAAGGAAAACAGGTGTAGTCTTTATATTCATGCTTGGTCCACAGTCAAGGGACAAAGGTCAAGCTCCCATAAAAAATGTGCTCATCATGAAAATTCCAGAGTCACACTAGCATTCAATGTGTGATCAGGATGATAGTTTTACCATTTCTGATTCCATTTTCTACAAACCTTTTGAATGTTCCTCCCCAGCTTGTCTTTAGGAGAAAGGGGAGCACCTAACGTTCTTCTCACAGGCAGAGAAAACTTTTTCATAGAGAATATTATTCTCTCCCAAAGGCCAAGGACTCCTAACTCTGAGCCACTAGCCTGGGGCCCCTCTCTCCAGTCCTCTTCCTAGGCTAGAGGTGTTCCTACAGTCTCTCTGTAAGGCCCTTGGGAAGCCACCCAACCTGCTGGTGGCTCTTTTCCAAATGCCTGGCACTCAATATTTCTTTTCTTTAATCTTTGAACTGAATACTGTTTTAGGACTGTCAGAAAAGTTTCTACTGACTTTTCTGTTATACAGCAGTATAATAGCAGTAGTACTAGTAATAATAACAGTATGAAAAAAAGAAAAATGAGAATGAAAAAAGCCAGCATTAGCACAGAAAGTCAGGAACAACTAGAGTGAATGAATTCACTTCAATCCAGTAATTATTTAAGGAATTTCTGCAGTTTTTAAAGATAATACAAATGATAAACAATTTTAGAGTAAAACTGAGTAGCCTCATACATTTCTTAAGTAGCTTGACCCTCTGGTTGAAAGGAATAATTACATACCGAAACTGTATGAAAGATAAATTGGTTCATTAATTCCAAACTAGGACAGTGTGACATTGTTCATTTAGGTTTCTGGGAAAGTCTGCAAGACTCATTTTTAGATAAGCCCATCTAAAGTCTGCAGACTTTACTATAAAATAATACACAGGTTTTTGTTTTTTCCTTTATATAAGCAAAAGCAAAAAAAAATTCAGGGAACACTTTCTCTTTTTTACTTTAGATAGACTGCTATTTTTCCTGTTTTCAGTATACTTTCTAACTTTCTACTTTTTAAAAAAATATATATTTTATTGATTTTTTACAGAGAGGAAGGGAGAGAGATAGAGAGTTAGAAACATTGATGAGAGAGAAACATCGATCAGCTGCCTCCTGCACATCTCCTAGTGAGGATGTGCCCGCAACCCAGGTACATGCCCTTGACCGGAATCGAACCTGGGACCTTTCAGTCCACAGGCCAATGCTCTATCCACCTAGCCAAACCGGTTTCGGCTAACTTTCTACTTTTCATCTAAACTACATGAATCACTGATCCACAGAACTTTCACTTGTATGAAAAAATGTCAGAGATAGTCCATTCTGTAGAGTGATTTGGTAAAATTAGAATACATACAACATGTCTTCACACAAAATACTCATATCAGGATGACATATGAAAATAATACACTAACTCTGAAATAATTTTAGCTAAAATCTAGTCAATGGTTTCTTTTTATATTACTAGATTTGTTGTGAAAACGATAAACAATTTTATGTGACAATGAAACAAATGTAGTGTCTGACTGCATTTTATTTCATCCCCATCATTAAAAAATAAACCTTGACGGAAATTCTCTGCTTTGTATTTCAAGTCTTCTCCATTTAGCAGCTTCCTCATAACAATAAAAAACATATGGGGAAATAGTGAGAGGGAAATTTTTTTTAAAAAAATTAGCTAGTTAGCTTATGGTCAAAACATATAGGACAAAGTTGTCCAAAATATGGTCATAACTCCTCCGATAATTCATTTCATCCTGGAGCCTTGCCTGACCTCCCAGATTCATTGACAGATTATTATATTCAGAATGGCTTTGAAAACTTACAGCCCTTAAAAATGCTCCTGAGACATATAAAAATGTTTTTATTTAGAATGGAACATATAACACCTGCCACATTTGTAGGTTTGAAACCACTTCTGATAAGAATTAAAAGGCCCTCTTTCTAGCTGAAATAGGACTATCAGTATGACTTGTCTGCTCATGAGAAATAGAGGGTTCTTGCCTCAGATGTCGCAATTTAGTGTAAAATCACTTTCATGATAACAGGGTACACAGGATGATAACACTATAAAGATGACAGTCTAATCTTCAAAGTTCACTGATCAGCGATAAAATATAAAGTAACAAACACATGTGAAATGCCAGATTATCAGCTGGTTGGAACATTCTAGGTATTGAGGTATGCTGAGATACTACTGATAAGTAGGAAATGTTTTTTTTTTCTATATGTTATACAGAAATATATCCTCCCCCAGGAGGGGTAAATGATTGTAATAGATTTGTATTTAAGATGCATATAAATTTTTCTCATAGGGATACAATATATTTAAATGTTAATAAGTGATATACTTAAAATGCTCAAATACATTTCCCCCCCCCCTCAGAATAATGCCTAATAGCTGAAAATTTTAAGCCCTCTTTAACACTTTTTTTGTTTTAACTCTAGCAACAATTTTAAATATACGTACAAGGATGATTAGACATGCTGGTCCTATAAAACTCCAAATAAAGTTGTTTTCTGTGCTAAGCCAACACCTGAAAAGTAAATAGTAGATAAAAATCTATGAATGTGCTTGTATGTACTTTACCAAAACAAAAATTTCAGTGATATACAAAGCATATGTAGAAGTATATTTCAAATGCTTTAAGATCATCTTAACTTACACTTTGGTGGTGCCATAATATCTATATCCTAATGATGCTGAAAATCCAACCACCACAGCTGGGCTGAGATAGCCAAAGATATAAAAATTCTTGTGCAGAAATCCCTTGTTGTAGATAACTCCAACAACAATGAGATAGAGGTGAATGCCTTCAATGCACATCCATGCAAAGGCAGCTAAAAAGAAGTAATGCAGCAGACCAGCAATGATCGAACAAAAGAGCTAGAAACCAAAAAAAAAAGAAAAGAAAAAAGGCACATAAGAAATGTTTGCTTAAACATTACTGTATCACAAAATCAGTAAATCATGCCACTTTATATAATGCCTGATCACATTAAAATATTCCTGGCAAGTGTCAGCTTTTTAAGATGTACCACTTACAGCTGACTTGAAAGAACTGTGCTTCATCAATGTAAAATATTCACCGATCCTGTGATAGAATTAAGTTACTGTCCTTGTCCAGAGAGTTAGTTATACATTTACATTATGTGCAAAATGATAAATTGTGAATTTACATGTAAACCATGATGTCTTAGTGAATATATTTTGATTTAAGTTGATTTCTGTTTTGGGGATGCCTTCACTCTATTTTATTCAGGCTCAAAGAATAAAAATTATTTCTAATACTATGCTAAACATAATATCTTGACTAAGTGTCAAACATTGAATTTATAAAACAAATGATGATATACTTTACAAAATATCCATTGAAGAATCACTTTAAGTCATAAGATTGCCAGGTAAATTTGAGATGATTCCAGTTAAATATTATTTATTAATAATTACTTTTGTTAGAAATAACAAAAGAAGTAGCTACACACTTCTGTATTAATAGAACTAATACAATCTATTTTAGGAGAGATAACATAATACATACTTATATACCTATTTGTAGCCTGGTGCACAGATTCGTGCACCAGTGGGGTCCCTCTGCCTGGCCTGCGCCTTGTCACAATCTGGGGCCCCTCAGGGGATGAGGTAGTATGCTAACCAGCAGCCGGCCAGCAAGGAGCCCAAGCCTGGGCCAGGAGCCACACCGCTTCCACTCATTCCGGCCCCTCTGTGCCTGCCACTGGGCTGCCCAGTAGAGCACTGCTGTGGAGGCAGGAGGGACTCGCATTGCCACAGCTGCGCTCACCAGCCATGAGCGTGGTGTCTGGCACCCGTCAGTCAGCTCAGCGGCGCTCCCACTGTGGGAGTGCACTGACCACCAGGGGGCAACTCCTACATTGAGCGTCTGCCCCCTGGGTCAAAGCACATAGCAACTGGCCAAACAGTTTTTCGGTCGTTCGGTCGCGTAGGCTTTTTTATATATATATATTGCATTAATTAAAACAGTATCATTCAAGCATAAATGAGACCGTATACTAAAATACATTGGAGAGTACTATGTAAGGTTGGGAACAGAGAGATCACTGGCAATGAAAATTTGGGAACCACTTTAGTGAGGGCATGGGATCTGAAATATGGCTTGAAAATGGGAAGAATTTGCTAGATGAAATAGAATGAAAAATAAACACTTTATAAGAATAAATATATAAAATAGATATATAAAATTGAGAGGTGTCCTGACTACCACTGCAAAATAAACAAACAATAAACAAACACCAGACATGTCTAATGTATACTATTTAAAATAGATGCTTTGCCGCATCTACTTCAGAAGAAAACCTGGATAGCCAATGGTTAGTTTAATACTTGAAAGATTTCTAGAAACAATGGAGAATTGGAGACAATTTCATGTTCCTTGGCATGACAATGCACTTCTCCAGGCTCCACCTGCAGGAAGTGCAGCTGGCTCCATGGCCATGACAATGCATTTCTCTAGTCTCCATTGTATTAGTTTTATTAATACAGAAGTGTGTAGCTACTTCTTTTGTTATTTCTATAAGCCAAACTCCAATGATAGATATAAAGTAATTATAAAAAGCAGCTGGCCCTGTGGCCATGACAATGCACTTCTCCAGTGTCCAATTGCAGGGAGAGCAGCAGACCCCATGGCCATGACAATGCACTTCTCCAGGCTCCACCTGCAGTTAGAGCAGCTGGCCTGGGGCTCCAGATGCTGCACTAGAAAAACCATTGCTGTGCTTATATTTCCCCTGGGCTGCTGCCAGCCAATGACCTGGCACAGCAGGCTTTTAAGATGTTCCTGTTCTCTGAGAAACAGAGGGTTCTTTGTCATGTGACTTTGGCTCAAGGTCTTCTGAAAGGAGTCCAGAACAACCATGCTAAACTTTCTTTAGAATGCACTGCTGGTATGGGACACAACTAAAAAAAGGAGACTGAAATTTATTTCTAGATTAAATTACAAGATAAGTTGAAGAAGAAGAAGAAGAAGAAGAAGAAGAAG